TGTGTGTGTATATATATATACATATATATGTATGTGTGTGTACATATATATGTATATGTATAGTAAGAAGTCAGCTGAACAACATAGCAGTCTAAAAATGAAGACAATTCAATTTCATAATGGCTTATAAAACTTTTATTTGTCTTGCCTGAACTCCCATTATCAGAGAGCAGGGATCTAGATTTCTTGCCACCGAAAGTCAAGTGCACAACTTCTACATTTTTTGAGTCTCGACATGTGTCCTTAAATATGTGGCTTCAATACCTGTGACAAGTTCTTACTCTCTTCCAGTTGGATGTATCTGAAGAACTTACTCTGCAGTCCCTGACAGTGTAGTCCTCCCTCATTCTCAAGTGCAGACCATGGGTTCCTATGCAGCTGGTGGGGGTTTTCTGTTTGTGCACTGTTTTCCTAAGCTGCTGAAATTCCTCCAGAGTGAATCTGCCCCAGTAGTCTTTGCCTCCTGCATGACCACAAGCACGACCTACAGTGGGTCAGAGAAAGCAGCTCAGTTTTGGTTCTCGTGACCAAAAAGTAAAGCACTGGAATTGAATATGCCCAGGTCAGGGAAACGCACAGTTTCTGCTCCCAACCGGGCAGCATGATCCTTACATCAGACTACACTTCTCCAGCGGTGACCGATGACAAGCATCCTGGTGCCTTGGTCACAGCTACACATAGAGACAGGTGAGGTCTGAAAGTTACAAAGCCCACACCCAAACACAGTACCATCTGCTTCATCTGATTAACACACACGAATGAAACCTACACCCACAGAAAACTGAGTATGTATTGTAGAAATGTAGAGGAAAAATAAAAATATTTTTTCAAATGTAATTACTTTTAATATATGCTTGTGGAAGGTCTAATACAATGTATGCTGTCTCCATAATTTTTGCTGTAAATAACTGGAGACAGTGAATACACTGATTTTTCTATGTCTCTGTTTAAGCATAAGACTTTTTAACAATTTTTTAGAGGGGGAAAACAACAAAGAGCAAATGCATACTTGCTTCCTTTCTGAGTGTTCCGTACTTCTCTCGGTTTTTTAATGGAAACAGTTAAGCATCCTGACGGGTCGTTGGTGTTAAATGTATGCTTTTTGTAATATAACTGAGAAAGGGACAAGGCTGTCAATCAACTCTGCTCCAAAGAATTTGTACTGAAGATTGGCTTAGAAACCACCAACTCTATCTGAACTAAACAATTTGAGAAAGGAAAGGTTTTTTTAAAAAGTGTTGACTAAGTCATCTTTCCTCATAGCAAAAGGCTTTGTCCAAATCCTTTCTGCATGGAATAGTTTAAGAAAAACAAATTCCACTTTCTGATGAACAAAATATTTTTGTACATGTTTATTTCTTATTACTAACCTGAGGTCAGACCACTCATTCGCTGAAGCCATAACTGACCTTCACCAAATAAATGTTGTAAAGAACCTGGGGGAGGGATAGGGAGAGACTGAAAGAGAGGAAAATCTAAGGCGTCATGAGTATAGCAGCACAGGCAGGAGCAGGTCCGAGGAAACTGATGCTTTTCCTGCATCTCAAATAGGACTTTCAAAGGCTAGTATTTTATGATGATCGATTTATAAGAAAAAAAGATATTTAGATTTAAATGAGACTTTCCAATATTTTTGAAATCCCTGACAATGCTTCCTTGATTTTAGGATTGAGAGAAATGATTTTCATATACTTCCAACATTCAGAGATTTAGTGTTTTTTTACCTCAGCTCCAGCCTACACCTGGGAAGGGCAGACTCTTAAGTTCCCCAGAGGTTGAACCCTGGGCTGTCTGGGGCTTGGCTGTACCTGCTGATCACAGCTGCACCTGGAGGGGCAGCCAGGAAGGGTACCTTATGCATCTCATTAGCATGCACACCTCTGTTGGCAATGCACAAAAATGGCAATGCCACAAGTATGTAAAATAAGAGTATTCACTCTTAAAAGCATAATAATTATACTTTTTTTAAAAAAAATGAAGCCTCCTGTAGTCAACCATTGATTTTTCTGGAGCTTAATTACATTATTACCATATATTCTTATCAGCCTATAGAGGCAGATGGCAAACTACAAATAAATCCAGTGACATATATAGTTTCAAAAGCTACAATCTTCTGGTCTGTCTCTCCTTGTTTAATATCTAAGCCCTAATTTCTGTATATGTGAGTAAAACTGCAGCCTGAGTCATTTAGGAAGTAAGCATTGAGTTTTTTTTAATTATAAATATACTAGATTAAAACAGCACACCCTAACAATGAAAAAAGAGTTTTATATTACTTTAGAATGTAATAGGTTTTGTCCTTATTTTATGTCCTGTAAATTCTTAGTTGAATACTGTTAGCATTCCCCGATGATGCACACATGATTTCTGAATGTTTTCTGTAAATGACAATCAATGTTTATGAAGTTCCCTCCTTTAATGCTGAACAAAATTAAAAGAAAAAGAAAAAAATCTTGCCTGCTGGTCTTCTTACCTCCTAGGGAAAAAGGAGAGGGTGAAAAGGATAGATCGGTTTGACATTGACAACATGTTCTCTGAGTTTCTTACCAACAGAGTTGTCCTCTTTCCAGTAAATTATGAGTAAGTTTCTTTTTCTGGAAAATCCAGGGTCCTCCTGGACCTAAACTGAGTCAGAGTTGTTCTCTGAGGAAAACCCCAGTCTTCTTCCAGCCAAACACTTGACCAAGTTGCAGTTAAAACGAGAGTAAGCTCTCCGAAAGATATCAGCCCTCCTGTTTTCGGTACTTTCAGGATCAGAGCCGTAAGCAACTGCCCTGCAAACACTTGGACAGTAAGCTGTGACCTGTCTGAAATTAATGCGACAATCTCTACAGATGACAAAAGCTTTCGAGTAATAATGATCACATCTCGGGACCCGACCTTTTTTCTTTTTTTAACAAAGCACCGCTAAAATCAATGCCTACCAATTCATGAATGCTCTGAATCTTATTTAGAGCCGCACTGTAGCAGGTAACAATTGAGGATAATCAGAGCCTCCCAGTGATGTTGGAAAAAGCAATTCTGAAAGAGGCCAGCAATGTTTCAGGGGCTTGGAAGTTGCTGCAAGCTGGGGTCCCTAGACACAAAATATTCCAAGAAAAATAGTTTAAAGAAAAAATTAATTTTAAAAGTGAACGCATTGATTTAAACAACAGGACGAACCTGAGAAAGTCTTCTACGAGGTTCCTCCAACTTCTCTTTGGAACCTGTGAAAACCCTGCAGAACATTTCAATCAACATCTCCACTGTAGACGTCTGTATCCCATGTGGCCCTAGGAAATGCATACAGTGTTTCTATGACAGCACCATGTAATCAAGTCCACAGTGTCTACTCAGACAGACCGAACTATATTATTACAACCTCTCCCAAATCCTGTCAACTGTCACCTAGGATAGTTCCCAGAATCCTTCACTATAAAGTCATTTGAAGATTTTTTCAGAGACCCATATCAAGGCCGTAGTGAAATACAAGATGAAGCTTAGCAGTTTTCAATTCAGTTTGGATAGCTGAATATGATGATTATTAACCTCTGTCTGACAGCATCACCAAAAATTATGAATTAATCCCTTTCAGTGTTCAATCTTTTGTTTTACACATAGAGCCTTTAAAAAAGAAAAAAACTGGCTTCCGCCCCTCTGCCTCATAAGCACAAGGTCCCAAGTTTAATCCCTGGTATCAGAAAAAACAATCATACAAAATAAGATACATTTGGGTCAGGGTTTGGCTCAGTGGTTCCACAGCCTGTCTTGCAAACACAAAGGGCCTGAGTTCAATCCCCAGTACCACAGAAAAAAAAAAAAAAAAAAAAAAA